CGCTCCCCCCCCCCGCCCCCCTAAGCACGCGTATGACCACTTTCTTTTCGACTTGCCCAAGATGCTACGGATATCCACGTGCTTCGCGACACGCGTCCACTTCGAGTTAAGCGAACCGTTGCGTAAGATAATTTTTCGAATTTTTCGAGCAAACGGTTGTTGCGTGGCTGACACGTAAGCTGGATGTAAGAACGGACATACCTCCGGGCTGACGGCAGAGCGGATGATCGCGCAATGCGGAAAAGAATTCAAGAAATGACGCTGCTGCGTCTGCTCTTTCCAGAATCCCAAAGCGATGCGTTCCGACCTGGGAGTCTGGAGGCGCTTGCACCGAAATGCATCGTGTGCATCGTGTGCATCGTGTGCATCGTGTGCACGATACATGGGACACGGGATGCGGGACGGTGGGCGTGACGGGATACATGGGGACGACGTAGGGCCAGACCGTTCAATGTCTACCTGTGCTGCCTGACATTTACTCCTCCGTCGGTCTACTATCCAGTAACTTCAGCTCGGACTCGGCAACTTTTCGACGCGCGTACACGAATATTTTCATTTCGCAACGCAACTTCCTCAATTTATTGCACGAAATGGCTCGATCGAACCATTTAAGTAGGACTACAATCCCTTTCGACCTTGCACTGTCTTTCCCAAGAATCTATCGTAAACGATCGTTTCCACCGAACGACCAATCGCGATCACGTATTGCTACTCCGCGGATGAGGAAGCCTTCGAGAATCAGAGTCTCGACCTTGCAGCTAAATACAGTCGAATGTTGCTAAACGAAGGCAAATATAATCAGATAGATACAGGCTATTATTTCCAAATGGAGGCAAATAGTGGGAAAGGCACGTACACACCGAATGATACATGCAAGATATAATCGCAGGAGAGATACACAGCGAACTCAATGAGTGTGAGGAATACACGTAAAAGGTTTACCGGTTCGATATTGATACAGCCAATCGAACTGATGACTGGCAGAAAATTGTTAAATTAATGTGATGTCGAATTCTCGTATCGGGAATGTCTTGAACTTTGACATACTAATCATACCACTGTCGTTTATTTTATTGCCCGGGGCAGAGCGGATGCGGAAGAAAACGAAAATAGCGACAGTTAAGGGGAACCGTAGCAGTCCAGGCGGGGGGAGGGGGG